AGCTTATCCTCTTGTCCGTGGACTGTGGAAACTTGGCGCACACAGGATTCACACACAGATCACATGCTTTGACCTGGCCTAAACTATGAACACACATGAATGAAAGTTTGGCGACACTGCAAGTTGCCTCCTTTACATTACATGTAATCATTTGATTCATCACTATAAAAACACTAGTAAATGAGGCTTTGATAATAATTCTTTCTGATGAAGGACTTGTGTAAATGTGTAATTTTTGTTTTGTGTGTCTAACCTGAAGAGCAGAACGCAGCACACGGTCCTGGACAGTTGTCACTCATTTTAGATGGAAGAGCTCCAGGGACGCTCCAGTAGTGGAGGTAGGTCGACATCCTGCTGGCCTGGATGGCCACGAGATTTCCCCCTACACCTGCATGGACATGGAAAAATACTGAATATAGCATCACAACAAGGATTTAAAGAAAAGTATGAACCAGATGAAGCAAAAGATTCCCTCGAAAACAGCACAGCAGAGGTTGTGTTGTTGTCGAAGACAGAAAATAGGTTTGCGCTTAATAACTATTGCATTATATGTGATTTATGAGTTAATATTGCAAGATTACTTTGGTATTTGCCAATACGCAGTTCTCATAATACAATGGGTAAACTGCACCACCATCATCACTTGTTAAGCCATTATTCTTCTTGTTTTTCATCTGAGAGTTATAAGAGAGGCTCAGCAGTCACTGCAGAGTAAACAAACTCGGAAAAATCATTCACTGTCCAAACAGTAATTTTGATTGAAATCCATTCAGCAGTTATTTCTGATGCACAGCGTCCCAGGGGACTTCATTTTCACTCGGCGTCTGGAAAAGGCAATCTCGCTGTTGTGCCTTTTTCATCACCCCTCGGGCTGATTTCATTAGTAGCGGAACAAAACCTCTTGGCTTGCAGAGTTTTGAAGCGCATGGATCATTTGAACAAAACAGGAGGAGTGTTTCTGTTCAACAAGGCAGGAAAGGAGAGCGATGAATTGGAATGCAAATGCACTTCCTGTAGTGGGATGGCAATACATGCAGGAGTCTTTGGTAGCGCTGAGGCTGGCAGAGATGCTGCGGAAACGGGAGCCAGTGAACGCATAGTTGGCATTCTGATCAGGCTTGAGGTTTATGTAAAGACCATTGTTATTCCTCTCTACTTAGTATGCCGCTTTGTGGTCTACAGACTTCAGTTGGGGAAGATGTGGCCCTCGACGCCTCTCTGAGGTTCCTTTGACGGGGAGGAGACTCCTCAACTTCAGCAGCCTTTTAATGCCTCATGATTGATTAACGGCTCAAAATTGAAGCCCTTTGAAAGCGGAGCTCAGCCTTTAGCAGCGGTTACAGTTCGCTGTCAGGGTGTGGAAACAGCAGGACTTATAAATAATGGGATTAGCTGCTGGGCTCCTGTATGCTCCAGTAATTTCCACATGACATTAGTTGGCATGAGGCTTTTTTCTTTTTTTTTTTATTGATAGCAATTACGCTAATTATGAAGCTTAAATGTCATTCTTCAAAGATTAGCAGAGTTAAAACACCACAACCTTTAATCCCAGCTCTGCTTACTCCATCAGGAAAACATGTCGGCGTTCATTTTTAGATCTCTAATCGTTTGGAAGAAATGTCAATAAGCATAATTGAAGAAATCCTATGTACAATAACATTTACTCGAGGTTAAAGCAGTTAAAGTCAACATCCTTCCTTAATCTCTATGGGTTTATTAAAAAAGTAGTACTTAAACCCGATGAAGTTCCACATGAAATTTCAAGCTTTTAGGCCGTAAAAAAAGGAAAAGCATAAAAAGTAAAGAAAAATGTCAATTGTCAGCAGCAATCAGCTGTTGAGAGGCAGCTTTAGAGATCCATGTTTCATATCTCCCTGAGAATGCCTGAGGAAAAGCTCTTTCTAGGTTGTGCCAATGAAGGTTCTGAATTAAATTTGTACATTTCTACACCTATCAACATTTGAATCAATAAGAAACTGGAGAGCCTTTCAAAGATTTTACCCATGGTAGCAGTGCGGCTTAAGAGAGGGCAAAGTTGGTGAGGCTGGTCCACCACTTTGTCCCAGACTGAAAAGTCTACAAATGGATGAATAGGTATTAAATTTGTTGAACACATTCATGATCCTGTGAGGATGAACGCTGATCCAGCTGATTTTTGCTCTCCCTGTGATGACTTTCCTCCTCGGACCATAATGTCAAAATTGAATTTCAACTAAAATGATAAACCTGGTAAAAACTTAGGGTTAGGGTTAGGGTTACTATAAGCATGTTAGCATAGCAATGTTAGCAATCAGCTCAGAGAACCACTGAGCCCAAGTAAAAGTTCACAGAGCTGCAAGTGCATTTTATGTGATGGGACTAAACTACAGAGGGACAAGATGGAGAATAAAGGTAAGTCAGTAACACTGGTGTAGCCAGCGATTTTGCATTCAAAACACTAACACTATTAAAATCGTTTCCAGGTGTAAGAACATTTCAAGTTTTCATTGGTTGTGCTTGGTCTGCAACAATGCTTAGGTTGGCAGTACATGTTAACGCAACATCCACATGAATGCCAGGATGCAAGGTTCCTCAACTGAACTTTGTATTACAATCAGATGAGTAATATTAATCACTTGGCAGTGGTGTTAATGTTCCATATAGTACATATGGTGCACGCACACAAGGACACACATGCGAGACAAGATGGTGTCACAGCGTTCCATTGATCAACAGCATATGCTGCACGTAAAGGCATGAAAGACCGCCGCTAGCCAAGGATACACAAAATGTGTTTTGGCGAGCAGCACGACTAAAAATAACTTTTGCTAGTTTACAAGAAAAATCCACAGGGCCTCTTTAATGCTGAAATGTAAACACTACTGAATTTATGGCACTGAAATAGTTTCATATCAAGTTATTAGTTTTTAGTCAAATTGCTAGTTCCAAAAGGTAAAGAATGCATCTCAACGCCTACACCTCACCTTCAAATAAGGGATATTTTCATGTATGTAGAGTTAACAAATGATAATTGAAATGAAAGAGAAACTGAAAGTGTTGGTAAAAATTTCAAAAATGTCAAAATGTACACCCTGTTTGTTTCCTGCTCATAACTGCTATCAGTTCTGCATGAAGTTCATCTTCTGCTCACCGTTGATGACTGGAGTGAACACTGCCATTCCTTCAAAGTGTGGATTGCTCACAGTTTTATCCAGAATCAGACCACCGATACTGGGAGGCAGACAACAAACAGTCAATGTGAGTCTGAGTGGGACACCTGCATCACAGCACTGCAAACTGCTTTTAGGTTTCTAAACTAGCTCACCTGCTGATGGCCATTGCCAAAATGACAGGCTGCCAGCCTGACTTTAGGACCTCTCTGATTGGTGGCGAGTGGCTGGCAATAGCGACCCACGCTGGGATAAGGAGCAGAAAGAAGCCACATACCACAGCAGGCAGGTACCACATGTCTGAAGGGCAACAAAGGAGAACAAACTGTCAGAATGCTTGACTACATTTTCCATGTAACTGGTGAGAAAACTGGTGTTTGGACAGAAATTATCCTTTGATTTTTTTTTTTGAGAGGTGAAAGAATTGCAATGATTAAAGGATTAAAACACTTAGATCATGATGCAAATGGTAAAAGCCAACAGGAGGACAAGTGTGACATTTGGTTCTGCAGAATCAAAGAATTAAAGGTGGACTTTGCTGCCCTCGTCTGGCTGAAACGCTCCATGTCGCCCCCTGTATGAATTTGATCATCTTGCACCACATAAAGTTGTACAGTCTTGCTTTCTTCATTTCGAACCATGTCCAGGTTTTAGATCTAGAAAAATTAATTTTTGCTTTTACTTCCTCACATCTTAATTATTGTAACTCCCTCTTCTTCTGAAAAATCTGCTAGAATGCAGCAGCTCAGATTCTTCATCACATCACCCCAACTCTGGCTTCCCTCCACTGACTCCCTGTTTGCTTTAGAATTGATTTTTAAGGTATTACGGGTCACATTTAAAGCTCATCGGGGTTCCAAGTTATTTAACAAAATTGTGGACCCCACATCCTCTTTAGATCCTCAGGTGGGGCCTTTCTGACTGTTCAATTTAAAAGTGATCGAGCTTTTCCAATCAGGGCCCTTCAGCTTTGGAGCATCCTGCCAGAGGAGAGAAGACTTGTTGAATCAGTGTCTATTTTCAAAACCACTTCTTAAAATTTAGACTTGCTTGTATGTGATGTCATCTATTTTACCTGGCTTTTTTTGTTTTATTCATTTATGTGTTCCTTTTGTTTTCTTTAATCACATAGTTATTTACTTAGTTACATATTACACATTTTATTTATTAACTATCACTATTACTGTTATTGCTTCTAGCCTGTGTTTAGGATTTTACCCTTTATTTCCTTTTTTCCCCCCTTTTCCTTACTTATATGGCATGGATATGGATATGCCACTTTTTATTTGCCATAGGTTTTATTGTACTGATTCGTTTTGTGAATCTTTTACCATGTTTAACTCTATTTCTCCACCTTTTCCTCTCCAGTCTTTCTCTTTTTGTTTGAACTGACCAGTCTTCTGTTGTTCGATGGTGTTCCTGAGTATCTTTTTTTGTTTGTTTTTGTCCTGTCTGCAAAGCACTTTGTAATCTCTGTCATTATTATTATTATAAACCGATGTGAAATGATCTACAAACTTCATGCAAACACTACGTAGACATGTATGTTTAAAGACAAGGCGACCTCTGACCTCTGTAGCAGAAGAAGAGGCTGCTGACTCCAGCGAGCACAGACAGAGTGATGAGGTCTCCGAGGCTGGCGGCTATAGGCGTGGCCACGTTGTCGGGGTTGATTCCCGCTCGCCTGGAGCCAATGATCACCGCCACCATCACCAGACCTGACGCAGCACATGTGACGTAGAAGTTAAGCAACACATTAAGCTCACATATATGTCGCATTCTGCATATGTGCCACATTCTCAGTCATTCATTCCTCTGCAGCAGTTTGTGCCTTTGTCTGACCTAGAGAGAGTGCAGCAACGAAAGCAGTGGTGACACTGCTGGCACACAGGACAGCCGCCTGGACAACATCCACTCTTCCCCTGGTCAGACCTCCGAGACCCACGGCTGAGACCGCTGCCAGGAATCCCACAACTGTGGCCTGAACCTGGACATGAAGGACAAAGAAGAGACACGTGAGCTTTTATATATTTATCTATAGTATAAACATGTCATACCAGAGAGAAGATAAGGAAAGACAAAGTTTCTCTTGTTGGTCAGTCGAAAGATTTTGTATTTACTGTGATTGTTTATAGCAGCAGCTTCTGTTTGGTTGATTCAGAAAAACTTTGACATCACTGCTGCTCTGTCTAACAGGAGCTAACTGGGTAAATCTGGTAGCAGCTGTTGAGGCTGTTTTCTTCACAAAGGACGGTGACAACACTGTCAAGAAAACTTCATAAATCATGACCTGAAATGTAAAGTGTTGTAGAATTGAAGTGTAACTGTGAAAAATACAACATGACATGAAAACAGGCTTTTGAAATCTGAAGTGCTAAAAAACTGTTATGATGTGAATTCACACGATTCAAGAAATATGATCTCAAAATAATGAGATGAATTGAAATTGTTTTATATGTATTTAAAAAATGTATTCTTTAATATTATTTATAGTAGAATTATTTACCTGGTATTGAGCACTCTGTGGCTCGGAGTTGGAATTATAATAACAGTCCCTTATCTAACATTGCTTCTGCTATTGACAGTCTGTCTTTAGTTCCAAATTAGGATTCTTTTATCTGAAAATCCATGTTTCTCTGGACGTTTTAGCAGTAAATGTGTCAGACCAGGTGCACTTTTGATTGCAAACTAACCAGCACTAACACACATGCAGCACAATCCAACTCAAAAACTCCCTTTTCAGCCAATTTTTGGATTCTCCAATATCTTATCACACTGTGAAGCCATCTCCAATCTTGCGTGTTTAATTGGGCTGAGCTGCATTAGTGAAATGTTTTGAAAGGAGGGACGATCTTATCACGCCGGCAGAGCCTCTTGAGTTAAATTAAATTGCCGTGAAGCCGGCAGAGATGCGCCTAAATGATGGAGCGTGTTATTAATAGGATGAAGAGTGTGCGGTGGTGCAGTGTCACCTGAATGAGAGCCAGATTACAGAACACCATCCTCCACTGCTGCTGGGCCTCATCCATCTGCCCTGTGTTGGCCTGTAGATGGAAATGAGGTTATGTAATCGTGTTTCTCCACCGCGTGTTATTAAGTGTCAAGTTTGGAAACTGAATTCAAAGTCGTAGACAATATAATTGCATGTTTTAGTGGTAAGTGGTGCCAGAGTCACCCTGACAAATGTTCTGGTTTGAAGTTATGTGTCGCTAATAAGTGACTCAGACGTTGTGTAATGAAAGCAATACGCTTTGATCATAAATCATTATTGAAAGATGCTAAACTTAAGGCGCTTCTATGCAAAATAGTGGGAAAAAAATCCCTGAATTACCATCAATATGTAGAGTTTTAAAGCATGTGTTTAATGCAGAAATATAAAATAATAGTTTCTATCTGGTTCTGGGTACATGTGTGTTCTGTGGGCATGTAAGTGTGTTTCCACTCACTGCTGTTGACAGTCTGGATGCCAGTGTCATCTCCAGATTCCCCTTCAGCCCCACCAGGGCTGGCACCAAGATAAACACCTCTGAGATCTCCCTGAACACCTCCCAGTGCTGAAAAACACACCAGTTTAACTTCATACACAGCAAAAACTACTGTTGTGTCTGTGTCTTGGACATCTCGTATTGTCTCCTCTGAAAAAAAAATGTTAAAAACCTGCTAACAGAGGTCAGTATTTCTAATTTTCAAAATTCTGAAAAACACAGTTCTGAGCATGTCAACATTTGTCAAAACCTGAAGACCCTCCTTCTTTTAAAAGGCCTCGAAAACCTGTTTTCTCAACTTCCAAGTTTGATAAATGTGATCACATAGAGACACAAAATGTTCTGTCCAATGTACAATCACGACTTTAGCACCATGTAATTTAAAATTAAAGGACAGTTGTGGGGTTGTTTATGTGCCAGCACTGTTTGGGCACATATTTTTTATCACTTTATAAATACTATCATAGAATGAACTTAACTCTGTCATTATTGTCAAAGAGGCCCTATAAGACACTTAGGTGCCTATCACATTTTGGCTAATCATGCCTTTCACCACTTCTCATATGCAGCATTGTGTGTTGATAAGCGCTTGTATACATGTATGAATATAATGTGTCGGCTCTTCATGCTTCAACCAGCAGGTGGTCGAGCTGCTGCAGAACTGCCACTCATCACGCAGCACCATATTTACAAGAGGTTAAACAGGGTGAGAGCTACGAGGGACTCTGTTCTGTCTGGCTCAATATCTGACGCAGATGTCTGCCTCGCTATGTCCTGTGATTTATATGTAAATTTACAGCACAAGCTCTGCCAAAGGTTGCTAAATAGATTGCCCGAGTGCCCTTTGAAATGTAGTCTGTGGCTTTTATGCCCAAATCCCTTCAACAGAAATTTTTATAAACATCCTTTTTATTTTTATTTTCTTGCTTGCAGCATGTTTTAATGTCTTAAACTAGTTCTGTACAGCGTGCATGGATTGCTCATAACAGATTACATAAGCGTCAAAGTCACTTACCCTGAAGGATACGTAACACAGTGGGGATCATGAATAGTCAAAGCAGGACCAAGCATCACCTCATTATACTCATATGTATAGAATCTAACGTACTTGTCTTCAATTTAGTGTTAGTTCTGGAGCAGTATTTCTCTTACTTGCACTACATCCATGACTATCCCGGCTGCCACCATGCCCAGGCCGGACACCAGGTACGGCAGCAGAATCTGGGCCGCAATGATCCACGATTTCTCTGACAGGAAGCCGTGGGCCGAGCGGGTCAGTTTGCACGTGAAGCCCCTCAGCTTCTTCCCCTGGAAACGCAGCTCCAGAGCCAGATGGGTCACCACCATGTCTGATCCCTGTTAACCCATGTCGAGGTGTCGGGGGTGGAAGAAGAGCTCCTCTGAGCTACCGAGTCAACTTCAATATTTCCTTTTTTTGACTGTTTCCAAGTTCTCTTCACCTAAAAACCCAATCAAGGCTTTTCGTTAAGTCACAGGTTCTTGGCTGAAAACACCTTTTTTTTCCAAGTAGGTTTCCAAAAAAAAAAAAAAAAAAGGAAAATGCTGCAAAGAATGAATTCAACAAGCTTGTTTTAAACTTCACCTGTCGCTCCAGTAGTGGCAGCAACACAAAGTACTTGTGCAAATGGTGGACGAGACAGAGGAATGGAACCTTTCATCCACTTGAATGAAGTGCACACACACACACACACTCACACACACACACACACACTTGACAGCAGGTCTGTTAGGCCTCTTCTAACACTCTGCCACTGACAGACCCTCATGCACACACACACACACACACTCCCTCCATCCACACACACACACTTCCTCCTCACGCCTCACTCTTGAGCAGCCGGGCAGCCGAGGCGGAGCGCTGGAAGCCCGGTCTCTCGCGGGGCCTGAAGAAGGTCCAGGTCCTGTAGGACAAGGACATCCAGAAGGCCAGCAATTTCTTCTCGGCCCTCCTGTGCTGCCACTCCTTCTCCTCCTGCTCCCTCCACACCTCCCTCTCCGTCTCCTTGCCGCTGTGCTGATGCCCCGTGTGAGCTTGACCGCTCTGGATCCCCTTCCTCATTTTGACCCGTGAAAGCGTCTGTCCGGGGCTGCGATAAGGCGGCGCTGATGGACGAGTGTGACGTCGGAGACTTGTCTGAGGAGGCACAACGAGTGTTGCGCCTTTGCCAGGGCTTCCCTCTGATTCCAGACGGACGGATGAGACGTGACGGTGGCGAGGGAGGGACGAGATGGACCACGTGTGAGTGAGTGAGTCAAGATTGATGATAAGGGAAAAAAACGTCTGCGCATAAGCAAGGTGACCAGGCTGCCTCTTTCTTCAGCTTTCCTCCTGGTTTCTCTTCAGATCCGTCCAGAGGATACTGCGGAGGTGCTCTCCCCCCTCTTTGATGGCTCCTCCTCTCGCTGCTCCTCGATGTCCTCTCGCTGTAAAGAGGGTGACGCACTCGGAGCAGCAGCAGGTGCTGTACCTGTCACCAACACGTGGTGCTGCTGCTGACTTTAAAGGACACGGTAGATCCTCTTTGATTGGAGGAAACACACAAGCTGCCACTAACTGCCATTCCCTGGAGTTTCACAGCCCGCCGCAGTTCATTACAGCACTCGTTTGTCATTCCCAAGGTCTGCTCTAAAGATAAAAAAAAAAATCAAAAGCTTCTACATACAACTAAAGTGCTGCTTCAGGTGAAATAGAAATGAGATAAGTTCTGGCACTTTGTTCTGGCTTTTTTTGTCCAATTTGTTCACACTGTAAGAACATAAGCCTGCACAAAAAACGCTGAGTAAGACCATGTCCTCACAGACACACAAGGACAGTGACTCAGCTATAAAGTGTCCTTGAGACATGGCTCGGAGTAGGTGCTTCACTCTGCAGCTCCCCCTTCTGACTTCTGCCTGTAATTTGATTTGTGAAGCAACAGCTGCTAAACACTAAGCGGCAGCTGGATGTACGTGGCGCTCGTTTACATCAGCTAACGAGTTGTTTCACCGAGCCCTGATAGAGAAGTCTTCTTGACGTTCGGGCATATCTTAGGAAAATGAGAGTAAAAAAAGGGCAGCAAGAAATGATGCGAAGAAACAGCTCTGCTCAACATATTTAAATGTCAGTAATTCACGTCTCTTGGGAAAGAGTCAATTAGATGTAATAAAAAACGAAAGAGGGCATTGCCTTGTGTCCAAATGTGTGCCTCCATTTGCATATTGGATCCCCAGTGTGCTCAAAATGAAATAAATAACACAAACTACTCATTAATTATGCAAAATATATGAACTTATTTATTTATTGTGAGCTGCTCGTTGTTCTTTTTTTCATCACTTAAATTCAAAAGTCTACTCTAACTCGTAGTGACATTTAGGTCAGACCTCCTAACATGTAGCTCGAACTACATGTCGTCTCATTAACTAATAAACACCCACAAGCAACGGTACTTTGAGATGAGTGGAATTATTTAGTGAAGGCCTTTTAGAGATCACGGCACCAGCACTGGTCCAAAACATTCATTCACTTTGCTTTACAATTTTACACCTGTTATAAACTGAAATGTCCTTAAAAATGAAACGTTACTGCACAGACAGAAGAGGCCAGATTAAGGAGGTGATGAATGTAATCCGGGTTTTGACTAAATGTGAGCAGGAGTTTAGTTTGTTGGTTCCAGCTGTTTGTAGTTTTCTTTCCTCTGAGTTTACTGAACAGCTGCAGCATCAGACAGCAGCAGGATCCATATGAGCAGTAACTTCACTAATAAATAAACTGAATTGAATTACTAATAAATTATAAATGATCCCTGACTTGCAGACAGGATTGTTCAGGATCTTATGATAACTGACACTGGGCACTTTTCTTCACCTCAGACAGGTGAGCCGTCACAAAGAGTCACAGTTCTGAAGATGCAGTTGGGTTTTGTTTCCAACATGTCACACAACTGTGTGAAGAACAAAAAGATTTTCCTTTGGTTGCTCATCCCAAAATAAGCTGGCTGACTCTGTCTACCCTGACTCCTCACTTTGATGCTGAGTTCACAAGCCAACTAATTAGAAACCTCGTTAAACTAGAGTTTAATAAATGCTGTTTAGTCACCGTGTCCCTTAACTGTGGCAGGTTGATTCAGAACTGTTGTATTTGTAGCTAACAGGAGGTCACTCATAGATAGATAGATAGATAGATAGATAGATAGATAGATAGATAGATAGATAGATAGATAGATAGCTTCACATTGGTTTCCCACAGCTGCATACTACATATAAAAATTCATGTAAGTACATTCCTGTGCTTCATTGCCAGGGCTTGTTTAATCTATTCCCAGTGAGGCCATGTCACCGTACAGGTTGACCTGGTCACTGTGACCTCCAAACTCAGTCCCTTCACCTCAGATAACATGGAACCTGTCCTGCAGTAGTCCAAACACATGATGCTTCCTCAAATCAAACTTACCTTTGAGTAGATTTTTAATATCCCAAGAAAGATTTTTAATTAGCTTGTTCACAGTTATGTCAATCAAAGAATGGTGGAAATGAAGCTGCTACCTTTAGGGCTATGAAATGAAGAAAATTAGGTTTAGTGGCGACTTGAATCTCCCAAAGTGCATTATAAGATTTTTTTATAATTCACTCATTTATGTTGTATTGAGGTTTAAAGTTATGCATGATTAGGGTGTGGCCACTGAATGACAGGTGAGTGCAGTCATGACACATTTCTTTTTTTCTTGTTTTTTTAGCCTTATTATAATTTTGTAGCTCCTGTCCTGCTTCTTCCACGTCTCATCTGTATCTAGCTACTGTAAATGTTATCTCATGGCCCACGTCAGGTCCACTCCTGCTTCACCTCTTTGCCAATTTTTGGATTATCAGGGCGTCACTGCCAAGATGGCAACAGCTTGAGCCGCCACACTGAGCTTCAAAACCGCTCTTCAGGAAACCTTTGGGTGACGTCACAAAGTGTTCGTCCATCTTTACTGGCAGTCGTTGTGGAAACTATCCTAAGTGCTGTCAGGCTTTTTAAATTAATAAAAACTAGAGCCACATAAACAGCCAAATTTGCGATATTATGATTAAAAAAAATAAGCCTCATGCAGCACAACTTGTAGTTCATATAATGTCTGCTGACAGATTGCAACTCAGTGCAAAAAAATTCAGTGAATGTGTGTGAGGGAACTGAATTCAATGCTTTATATGACTTTTCAAACCCCAGCCCTCTACGTTACACCTACATGTAATGATTCAACACCACTGACCTGCACCCCGTCCAGCAGCATGCCGGCCGTCACCATGCCCAGCCCAGCCAGCAGGTATGAAGGCAGCACCTGGAAGTAGATCACTCTGGATGACTCTCTGAAGGAAACGTGGAGCTTTGTCTCCTCCATCTTGTCAGGACAGGACAGGACAACTACTGCTGCTGAGATTCATGTCTGTTGTACAAAGCTGCTGGCAGTACTCACACAATCCAAACTGCTGCCAGCCAGATCAGTAATGTTTATCTTTCAATCTGTCAGCCTGTCCTTCAGCATTCTTGTGTTTGCTTTTCTGTGACAAATGCCACAAATACATTGTTGTGTTACTACAAGATCATTTACTGTGACATGGCCCCAGTTTGGGCCCCTCATACATTAGCATACATTTAAATCACAGAGATAAAATTAATTAATTTTGAAAATTCCAGGTTGACAAAAAAGACCTGTGGTTGTTCTGAATGTATTTCTAGAGTCATCTAAGACTCTTCTAATGACTTGATTGAACATACATTACTTAAAAAAACATCTTACACAAGTTTCCATATCTCA